AAAACTGTTATTTCAATACAGAGCCGAACTGGTCATATAAGAAATTTACTCAATTCAATAATAAGAGTCTAAAATTTCCCAAGCAGTCAAAATGACTGCTTTTGGGCAATATAGGTATAACACATATATATATATCAGAAATGAAGGAGGGGGAGGTAACTACAATTATTAATAAACGCATTTATATGTTGTACAAAAAGTCACAAAATTCTAAGACATTGTGTCCTTATATACATAATTGTTTTTCTAATTGAAATTAAAAAGCAGTCAAAATGACTTCCTTGGGCAATCTAGTGTTAAATTCTATTCAACAAAAAATTATGAAGCTTGTTTTTGAAAAAAATAGGCATTACAACAGCAACTAGAACTCAAAAGGAAGCTGCCACTCTGGGACTGGATCCTCCTAGTGGGAGAGAGGCTGCTGCTGTACCACGTGCAAGAGGCAGGCATGTGGCTGTTATGCCCAGATTTCAAGATTCCCAAGAGCCCACCAGGGAGCCAGCGAGTCCGATGCAAAAGCAAAGAGTCCTTTATTTCAAACCTAGGTCTGGCTCCCCCACCCTCCTTACTGACATAGCAGCAGGTGGCAGAGAGAGGGCTAGCCCGATGGGAAGAGGAGTTTTATAGGGGAGTGGAGTAAGGGGTGGAGAGGTGACTGTGGGTCCTGCCGATTGGCCAGGCGCAAGTCGGTGTCTCGTTACACAGGATGTGGTCATATTGATGGCGTGCACTTCCCTTGATTATCATTGGTTAGTCCAGAGAAGTCCTGGGTGTGGCTAGCAGAGGCTTGGGCTTCCGGGAAGAAGCCCCACCGAGCACATGGCTCTGCCCAAAAATGGAGGACCCAGGGTAAGATGGAGGGCGTAGTCCTCGTGCTTTCAGTGGCTTTTGTCGCCCCTGGTCTAGGACTCTGCACATGTCAGATGAAGGGCATTTTCTAGCTGGAAGGCCTAAAAGATGATGCAATCTAATATTACTATGTCCTAGCACAGGGAACTGAGGGCACAGAAGTTAGGGACTCATCTCAGGTCATCAGGTCACTGAGTGGCAGAGTAGGACCAAGCCCAAGGCCAGGGCACACTCTGCCCTGCCCCAACACTGCCTCTCCTTCCTCTGTACACTCAGGGGTGGGGGTGGAGTGTCACACCTATTAGGGTTATGAACCACAGGGAATACTGTAAAAACAATTTATAGTCATTGGATATGTCTGGGCTGAGTGGCCAAAAAACCAGGGAAGACCTTGAAGGCCATATAAATGTTTCTCCTTTCATGAATGCATCATTTCCATAAAACTCCCTCTACGGCTTCTACAAAGCTTGCTGGTAATTGATTTTGTCCATGTCCGGTATTGTCACTGTAGCATCTTTGCCATTGATATCTGCCACAAGCATTTTCACTGCAAACGCTTTCACCACCTAAGGAATTGACCATAAGGCAATTTTGCCATAAAAAAGGATAAAATCATGGAAAATAAAAGAGGGACCTTAACAAGGACATAACATTTTTTAAAGTTTATTGAGAAATACAAAATATTTGAATACATTAAAAATGTGTGTAGATTCATGGTTATACTGTGCAGATAACTGATTTTACTTTGTGGATTGTATCTAAGCACTTGTCTTTGTTCTGTGGGAAATGTTGGCTCAACTCTGCACCCTCCGAGAGGGCCCTCAGTGTCTCTCCTCCCAATGTCATGGGTTTCAAAATAAGAAACCAAAAGAAGAAGAATGAGGAGGAGGAGGAGGAGAGAGGAAGAAGAAGAGAAGGAAGAAGAAGAAGGAGAAGAAGAAGAAGAAGAAGAAGAAGAAGAAGAAGAAGAAGAAGAGGAAGAGGAAGAGGAAGAGGAAGAGGAAGAGGAAGAGGAAGAGGAAGAGGAAGAGGAAGAAGAAGAAGAAGGAGAAGGAGGAGGAGAAGAAGAGAAGGAGAAGGAGGAGGAGAAGAAGAGAAGGAGAAGGAGGAGGAAGAGAGGAGGAGGAGGAGGAGGAGGAGGAGGAGAAACCAACTCTTGGGGCAAATCATCTTCATCTATTTTAAGACCATCTCCACCACCCTATCTGCTTATCACCGTCTAGGCCAGCAGTTCTCAACCTGTGGGTCGCGAACCCTTTGGAGGTCAAACGACCCTTTCACAAGGGTCGCCTAAGACCATCGGAAAACACATATATAATTACATATTGTTTTTGTGATTAATCACTATGCTTTAATTATGTTCAGTTTGTAACAATGAAATTGGGGGTCACCACAACATGAGGAACTGTATTAAAGGGTCGCAGCATTAGGAAAGTTGAGAACCACTGGCCATTATGAGGCCTAGGTAAGATCTGTTTTTTGTTCTTCCTCACCAGAGGATATTTTCCCCATTACTTTTCAGAGAGAGTGGGAAGAAGGGAAAAAGGGGGAGAGATGGAGAGAGATGGAGAGAGACGGAGAGAGACAGAGAGAGACAGAGAGAAACATCGATGTGAGAGACACATCTTCATCCTCTGGTTGCTTCCTGCATGCACCACAAACAGGACCCTTGACTGGGACTCAAAGCTGAGACCCTTCTGTGGGTTAGCAGATGCTCTAACCACTGAGTACACCGGCCAGGGCAAGATTTATATGTAATATAAAAATGGGAGTAACTGTGAAAACTTGTCAATGAAGAAATGAAACCAAACTGACAACGAGCTTAAGTACATTAAGTCCACTGAACACAGTTGATTCGTCAATGCGGAAATGAAACCAAACAAACAAAAACCCAAACGGTCAACCAGTTATTTTATCTTTTTTTTTTTTTTTAAATATATTTTATTGATCTTTTACAGAGAGGAAGGGAGAGAGATAGAGAGCTAGAAACATCGATGAGAGAGAAACATCGATCAGCTGCCTCCTGCACATCCCCCACTGGGGAAGTGCCCGCAACCCAGGTACACGCCCTTGACCGGAATCGAACCCGGGACCCTTCAGTCCGCAGGCCGACGCTCCATCCACTGAGCCAAACCGGCTTCGGCGTTATTTTATCTTTTATACAGCAAGATTGCCTTATGGTCAATTAGTCGCGTGGGCAAAATGTTTGCAGCAAAAATGATTGTGGCAAGAATACGATGATGAAAGTATCTAGAACCAATTTTCTTTTTGAGAATCAAATGGTTCTATGGTTAATGAAGCATTCATTCACAGGAAAGGGGGAGATTGAACATTTTAAAAGGCCTCATTCCTGGAATGGTGCTCCTCCTGTAAGCCATCAGGAAGGTTCCAGAAAAACTGCCTGATTTTGTTTTTTCTCTAAAAATAGGTATATAATTGAGCTGGGATTTTATTTTTTTCAAAAGGTTTCTCAAAATGATTGCCTTATTCTTAGTAGGCTTCAATCAAAACCACATTAAAAGTCTCTCAAGGCATTTTATCCAAAATAAAGTTCCCTTTTAAAACTGACCTGCCCTCTTTATAAGTCACTTATCTCAGCAAAGGATATTTATTCACAGACTTTATACAACTATTTTAATGAATTAAGTAAAGAAAAAGTATTTCTTTTTCCCTGCAGTTAGAAAACAATCACATAGTCTGTGTAGATTAAACAAAATATACTCTTTTTTATTATTATTCCTACTTTTAAAACTTTTATTTATTGATTTGAGAGAGAGAAGCATTGATTTGTTGTTCCACTTATTGATTCTTATCTGTGCCCTGACTGGGGATCCAACCTGCAAACTTGGCGTATCAGGATGATGCTCTAACCAACTGAGCCACCTGGCCAGGTTATTATTCCTACTTTGGAAAAGAGAGTAGAATAAAGGAACGGACATTGTGATTACTGCCCCACTAAGGCCCCTAGAAAAGTCTCTCAAGGTTTTTAACAATTTCGTTAATTAGCATTTCCTCTAAGTTACCTAGGAAGGCAGCATGAATGTTTTCCCTTTTCTTTTTTCCTAATTAGTAAATATACCTCAGGTAGGCTGGCTTCACTGAAGGTCCCCCCGCCCCCGCCCTTATAGAATAACAACTTGCCTGAAGGCTAAAGTGGATATGTTATGGGAGTGTGTGAGATTAGAGAAAATGGCTCTTATATCCTTTGCTCCTTCAAACTCAAGAGCTCCACCACTGTTCTTGGGAAAAAAGAAAGCTTGGCTGTGAATCATTGCACAGCATTTGCCTGTGCGGCTGAAAACAACAGAATACCATTATACTCATAGTTATAAATATTAGTAATTATACCTTCTAAGATGGATTCAGCATTCCACAGGCCAAGTAACGTTAGCTGAGAGCAAGGGAAGGCATGATAAGGGAGACAGCAAGTTGGGCGTTGGGGTCAGCAACACTGGTCTGGGCCAGGCGGGCAATCTGCTTGAGCTTCTTTTTTTTAACCACAAAATATGTGTAACACCCACCTCAGAGAGGTATGAAAATTAAATACAACAAAATGTAAAAAAAGCACGCAGCATAGTTCCTGGCATGTGAAAGGTGTGCACTGGCTATTAGCTTCCCTCGGCTGACTCATCTGTAAAAAGGGGGTAATACAACCCACCCAATGAAGCCAGGGTGGGGGTCAAGTGAAACAGTTCCCTGAGGGGGCGCACCCTTGTCAGTTTCCTCTCCGTTTATTTCCTAGCTCCATTCCCCGCCCCCGTACCGCAGCTACTTCGGAGGAAAGGGCAATTCAGCATATTAGAACTTTTGAGAGAGGAAGTTTATCTTATGTCAGTTTTGGTTTTTTTTTTACTTATCTATGGTTTTCTAATTGTTTCTCAGAGGAAAAAAAATAAATGACCAGAATTAAGTATTTTTAAGAAACTAGGAACAAGCTGGCGGCACTAGATCAGCGGTTCTCAACCTGTGGGTCGCGACCCCTTTGGGGGGTCGAACGACCCTTTCACAGGGGTCGCCTAAATACATCCTGCATATCAGATATTTACATTATGGTTCATAACAGTAGCAACATTACCGTTATGAAGTAGCAACGAAAATAATTTTATGGTTGGGGGTCACCACAACATGAGAAACTGTACTAAAGGGTCGCGGCATGAAGAAGGTTGAGAACCACTGCCCTAGATAATTGGGAGCCCTCCTTGTGATGAAAGTGTGAGAATGGACCAGCCCCAGCCCATCCCGTTCAACCATCTAAGCATTTACTTGAGACAAACAAAAAGGTCACGGTGTCACTTCAATTTAACCAACAGTTGAGTAAGAACTGCAAGGGGCGATGCAAAGAAAAGGAAAAAAACACACACAACAACAACAACAGAGAGGAAAAGTAAGTTTTCACACAAATCTGAGCTCTCTTCCAAAAGGTTCATGGACGCTAACATGTTATCTGCCGACTCCTGTGGAGTTTCCAGAATCGCCACTTTTTGATGAGACGGGAAGTGTCAAGGAGACATGCCTTCGCCGGCGCCGCGGCTCACCCGCTCGGTCAACGGCACAGGCCGGCCCCGCAGCGCCGCGGGCACACGCGTCCTCGGGTGTCACCTTCACCGAGCAAGGCGCGGTGCCGCCCAATGTAATTCCTAAGGGGAGGGACGCAGGAAAACGTGCCTCTCGCCTTGAGAGCTGTCCTTTATTTATTTTTGGGAAGCTCTTCTTTGGTTAAGGTTGGATTTATTTCGATATTTAGGTACATGATTTACCCACACCGAGGACGGAGGGAAACTGTCACTGCCCTTTGGGTTTCCAGGACGAGGTGCTCCGCATCTGGTACCGTTTGCATGTGAGAAGTCCAGAAGTTCCTTTAAGCAGGCACCTAATTAAGTTGGAGGCACAAAGCCAATAAAAGGGGGAGGCGGAAACCCAACCAGAATGTCAGAATATCTTTTTCCCTTTAAAGCACGAATTTCTTTTTTCTAAGATTTTTTTCCCCCCTGGAGGAGAAACCGGATTAAAAACGCAACCACCTTCGGAGAGAACCTTAGACCAGAGGGCAAAGACGCGCGGTGCACGGGCGCCGGGGTCCAGGCCGGGGTCCCGGCGGCGGTCCGGGGCTCGCTAGCTGCCCCCTTCCTCGGGCTCGCTGCAGGGCGAAGGCGCGGACGAGGCCTTGGACTCGCCGTCGCTGTTGCAGTCGGACCTGCGCTGGGGGCCGGCCGGGCCGTCCTGCCCCCGCGCGTGGCGCTCCAGCAGCTCCTGGAGGTGCTTGATGTAGCCGATGGCGGCGCGGAGCGTCTCCACTTTGCTCAGCCGCTTGGCCGCCAGCTCCCGGGGCAGGTGGTCGCGGAGGCGCGCGTACCCCTCGTTCACGCAGCGCACCCGCTGCCGCTCGCGCTCGTTGCGCTTGCGGAGGAAGGCGGGCTCGAAGGCGCCGTCCAGCGGCAGGGGCAGGTAGGGCCGTCTCGGGGCGCAGCACGCGGCGTCCAGATGCAAGGAGACCCTGAAGGGGTCCCTCAGAGGGAGGCGGGGCAGGGTCTCGGGCAGGTTCAGGGGCCCCGGGTGGAGGGGGTACGGCAAGGTCAGCAGTCCGGCCGATTTCCGTGTCTCCATCGCTCGTCAAAAAAAAAAAAGCCAACGAACAAATCAACCAAGAAGTTAATGTCTCAGCAGAAAACGAGGCTGCAAATCTTCAAAGCGGAGAGGATGGTCCATTCAGACTGCCTGGCACGGAAGGTCTGTGTGGGGAGACGTTTCTGAGCCCCGAAGCTCAGTTCCAGAACACGCTCCCGGGAAACTGTGCATGATTCCGGAAAGCCAGTGCACGCCTCCGTCTCCTTATAAAGTTCCAGACGGAGGTGCCAGGCCAAGATTTAGGACCCCTAATCCGCACTTCAAACCTCGTCTTCCTCTCTGATCTTCTTCTTTCAAAAAGGTAACAAAAGGGGTTCCTCTGCTCGGTCCCCCAGCCTGGAAATGTGAGCGCACACCAAACAGAGTAATCTTCCGAAGCCACCCGAGGTTTGCAATTACTGTAATCCACTGATCTGGGTCTTCAAGAGCCGAGGAATCCTCGCGGATTCCCAAGGGCTCCTCCCAGGAACCGACAGGCCTCCTGGCGGCGGAGCGAAAGTTTCCCGGAGGCTTTCTCCTTGAAAATCACAACTTGAACTGCCCTTTGTGGTTTCCGGCGTCCAGGGCTAATGGAAAGGGCTTTGAGACTGTTTGCAAACTTGCACTTGCTCTTTCATTTTGGGGGAGGTGGAGAGAAGACCTCATCAAAAGAAAAGACTGCTCCCTTGTGGTTATACAATGTGTCAAATCCAGGAGGACCCCCGAGGAAAGGCTTGAGGGTTTTCTTCTCCAAAACCAAGTCTTTAAAAATACCCCATTAGGCACTGTTTGAAGGGGACAGGAATTGGAATAATACTTGAGCAACACTCACCTATTAGGCTCCCCTATGGCGAACGCGGGGTGCTCTGGGTAGCTGTGGCACTTTCCAGGAGCACATCAAAAGCCCGAGCGGTAACAAACACTCTTCGCCAGAGTTACATCTCACAGTGCTTACTGTAAACACAGTTTAAACACTGCTTTCCGACCTCTTCTAATCCCACCCAGGATATAAGGACATCAGCTTTCCATAGTGTAAAGAGTATATTTCTATTGTATTCTTTTTGTCTTAAAAAAAAAAAAGAGGCAATTTATTGTCTCCCTTGGGGGCAGGAAAGCAACATTTGAAAGGTTGAAGAGCCCCAATTCCAAGGAGGAAAGGATGAAGGCTTTGAAGACTTTTTAACACACACCCAAAAAAACGAATAATTAATCCACCCGTGATGGTGAAGGGCTTTGAAGATGAAAGTGTCATTAACAATCCAACCGTCCGGGTTAATGTCAAAGAATGTGTTATCACACCGAAAAATCAGATTTCCTGTTCTGCACACCAGCACATTAAAGGCAGCTTCTGCTTTAAAAGTCCAACTTAAAAACAAGAGAAGCAAAAACCCCCTACATTTACCATCAGACTTTCTGCCTATTCCTTGGGAGCCAAGGCGTCGCCCTAACATGTTGTTGTTGTTTTTTTTTTTCCTTTTGACAAGTCCTTCGTTTCCCTGTTTACTCTAAATGGTCTGCCCCAAGCAACTGGAAAAACACTTCCATCAAGGCACATAATATAGAAATAATTATTCCTTTCAGGCATAAGTTAGTCACATTTTAAAAAGCGTAACGCCCTATGAGGCTTGTTCCGGCAAACAAGCTAATATGTCATCTTAATTTCTCAGTAGAGTTCGACCTGGGGAAGGCCCTTTCTATTGGGAGAAACGCCCTCCTGAGAGGCAGGTAGACCATTAGACCACAAGGTGTTTTTTGTTTTTTGTTTTTCATGTCAAAGGTATTGGCCTTTATTCTAAGAATGACAGAAAATAAGTGGAGTATTTTGAGCAGGGAGGTGATGTAGTAAAATTTGTTTTTCAAAACGATCACTATCTGCAGAGTGGAGAATAGATTTGGGGGGTGGGGAGCACAGGAGAGAACAGTTAAAGGTATTTTTCATCCTCATATTGGCAGAAATGAAAAAGATTGCTAACATCCATGGCAGGCAAAGATTTGGGGAAGGGGCAGAAGCATAAACTGCTACAAGCTTTTGGGAAAGTAAGTATTGAAATTAATAGTGCGCATCACATATTATTGACCCAGAGACCCCTACAATTTGTCCAAAAATAAATGCACCAATATGGATTTCTACGTACGTTAATATCTATTGCAATATTGTTGATAGTGATTTTAAAAAAGGAAACAGCCTGAATGTTCACCAATAGAAAAAGAGCTAATAGTTATTAGAATATTATGCTATTATTATAATAATATTCTAATAGTTACTAGGATATTATGCTATTATTGAAAGTAATGAATTAGCCTAACCGGTTTGGATCAATGGATAGAGCATCAACCTGCAGACTGAAAGGTTCCAGGTTCGATTCCGGTCAAGGGCATGTACCTTGGTTGCAGGCACATCCCCAGTAGGAGGTGTGCAGAAGGCAGCTGATCAATGTTTCTCTCTCATCAATGTTTCTAACTCTCTATCCCTTTCCCTTCCTCTCTGTAAAAAAATCAATAAAATATATTTTAAAAAATAAAGTAATGAATTAGATCTATATGTGAGAACTTGTAGATGTGTTCATAATGCCTTAAGTGAAAAGGAGAAATTGCAGAGTAGCATACCCAGCTTGAAGTCAAAACAAACTATTGTACACGACACATGTCTTTATACGTGCTTGTGTGGGCACAGAAAATGAAGTGGAAAGACAAACACTGAACTTTTAAAAGGGTGGCACTGGGGATAGGGTGTTTATTTTTCTTTATGAATCTCTCTACTGTTTAACTCATCACCAAAGAACACATTACTTTTGTATTTTTTAACCGAATGAAGTTTAAAATAAGAGAATGTAAAGAAAACTTAAAGGACACCCTGTCTGACCCAAATCAGCAGGTTTATTATGACAATTTAAAGCTCTCAGACCAGGTTTTCCAGCTCTACAAATTTGTTTCTGAAGAATAAATACCTATAGGACTAAGGTCCACCTCTCCCCTACTACCCCACTAATACTATAATCTAAAACTGTCAGGTCCTGCCCTAGCCAGTTTGGCTCAGTGGATAGAGCATCGGCCTGCGGACTGAAGGGTCCTGGGTTTGATTCCGGCCAAGGGCACATGCCCGGGTTGCGGGCTCGATCCCCAGTCGGGGGCATGCAGGAGGCAGCCAATCAATGATTCTCTCTCATCATTGATGTTTCTATCTCTCTCTCCCTCTTCCTTCCTCTCTGAAATCAATAAAGAAATATATTTAAAAAATAAAATTGTCAGGTACTGATCCTGTAGTGGTCTTTTATAGGGTCCAAGTGATGTTATGATGTATCCACATGGTCACACAGAATGCTAATGGGAGTTTTTCTCATGCTTTTGAAGGCATAAATGAATTGGAAATAATGTATTTTCCCGTGAGAAAATACATTATTTTACTCACAAGATGTGAAGGTGGGGAGTGGGAGAGGCCTCCTTCCTCAAAACAAGAGACCGAAAGAGGAGGCTCTGACTCCCAATCACTCTCCAGTCAGTTTTGACCCAGACAGATGTTCTCTGCAACTTGAAAGATGCCTCCCACACTGGCCGGATGGAGTAACAGGTATGCTAACCCTCCAAGGACACTGGGACTAGGTTTGTGTAGCCCAGCGGTTCTCAACCTGGGGGTCGCGACCCCTTTGGGGGTCGAATGACCCTTTCACAGGGGTTGCCTAAATACATCCTGCGTATCAGATATTTACATTACGATTCATAACAGTAGCAACATTACAGTTATGAAGTAGCAACGAAAATAATTTTATGGTTGGGGGTCACCACAACATGAGGAACTGTATTAAAGGGTCGCGGCATGAGGAAGGTTGAGAACCACTGGCGTAGCCCTATGTGGATCTACTTATAAAGGGGGATGCAAGTCACTAAAAATCAGGTTCAAAGCCCTGGCTGGGTAGTTCATTGGTTAGAGTGTCGTCCAATACGCCAAGGTTTCAGGTTTGATCTCTGGTCAGGGCACATACAAGAAACAGCCAATGAATGCACAAAATAAGTGAAACAACAAATCGATCTCTTTCTCTCTCTCTCTAATAATAATAATAATAATAATAATAATAATAATAATATCAGGTTCAGTAGCTTTAAAGGCATCTCTAAGGTCAAGGAAAACTTCCACCCCTAAAACTCAGACAGGTCCTTCGTCACTTGCTTGAAACATGTGAGGTGAGGTGAAGAGACTTTGTTCCACTCTTGTGAAATGCCTGATACCAGTGTATAGATTTGGGCTTCCCAGGCTCATGACACAGAGGTGTACACATACTCTGCTGGCCCCATATTTGCAACTATCACAAGAGGGAACAGGGAAACACACAGTATTATGAACTCATGATAGACATCAGATTCCTCACAGGTGTAGTTCACACTCAGATTGATTATCCCACGTGATTCTATCCAATCAGCCTTTTTGTTTATAGCTTTTTCTATATAATAAACTGTATCACCACATGCAACATCCACCAGGGGTACAACTTCTTCGGTGCAACTCAACATCGAGATTCGCTAAGACTACCATGGGCCACATGGCGCACCGGATTCATTTGGAAGGAACGACTGCTTGGAGCACAGCAGAATTAGGTGTTCCGCCTCGCCGGGAGCGCTTGTAATCCTCTACAAAGCGATCACACAGCCGCTCCCTCCTCGCCTGCCTGCCGCCACCTGACAGCTCAGGTGCAAGGAAAGAAGACTTACACCAGGTCCCCTTGGCAGCTGCCCTGACTTAGAAGACGCACAGCCCTCAGGAGCCAGTCTTTCTTGTACCCACCTCACAGGCAGAGCTTCCAGGGGCCCACCAGGGCCAATTAAAGAGTTTTCACACTCAGGAAAGCCCAAAGCGATGCTCTCCCATCGGGTAATTACAGTTTTGCCAGGCCAAATGCAATTTACCAATCAAGTAATTGCTCTAATATGAGTAATGTTGCCTAACGACATAGTTGACAAGTCTATTTTATCAGGTTTTAGAGGAACAGATAACAGAAAGTTAACTGAAGGTCGAACTGCCATGCAGAAGGGTAAAAGCTTTATTAATCCTTTACCCACACCACTACATTCTCTCTCTCTCTTTTTTTTTTTTAAATATATTTTATTGATTTTTTACAGAGAGGAAGGGAGAGAGATAGTTAGAAACATCGATGAAAGAGAAACATCGATCAACCGCCCCCTGCACATCTCCCACTGGGGATGTGCCCGCAACCCAGGTACATGCCCCTGACCGGAACCGAACCCGGGACCCTTCAGTCCGCAGGCCGACGCTCTATCCACTGAGCCAAACTGGTTTCAGCTACATTCTCTTTTAAAGATAATATAACTTACAGCCAGATTTAAAGAACCACAAATATTTAGGTACAATCTAGTACTATTTTTTTTTCTTTTTTTTTGTTTCTTTTTTTTCTATTTTTTTGTTCTCATCTCAAACGCTATTTGCATTTTAATCTTGTCTCTGCAGCCTTTTATCATATAGAAATGTAAAATTTTGATGTAGTCAAATACATGAATTCTTTCCTTATGGTTTTTGTCTTTTCTTTCTTATTTAGGCTACCTTTCCAAACACACGTTTACAAGGTCTTTTCTTGTCTATGTGGCACCTTGGTGTGAATCAGAAAAAGGCACCAAACTCAAGGCTCGAAGAATGGGTGGCTAACTACAACCCACCTGGAATAACTATTGAGCAAGGATGCCCAAATTTGGAAAAGAAGAGCAAAAAAGGTGACATGCTTGTTTGTATCCAGGACAAACAAACAAACAAACAAACACATTTTGAGATTGTAATTGCGATTGTGTTCAATATACAGATTAATTGAGAGAGAATTGACTTTTTAAAAAAATCCTCACCTGAGGATATTTTTCCCCCCATTGAATTTTAGAGAGACTGGAAGGGAAGGAGGGGGGGCGGGTAGGGAGAAAAACATCCATGCAAGAGAGACCCATCCATTGGTTGTCTCCCACACTCGCCCCAACCTGGGCCAGGGATTGAGTCTACAAGCAAGGTACCCCTTGACTGGGAATCGAACTTGCAAACCTTAGGTCCGAGGGCTGATGTTCTAACCACTGAGAAAACAGGCCAGGGCAAGCATGGACTTTTTATAAAATATTGATGCTCTCTTATAGGAACATAGAACTCATTAATTCAGGGTTTCTTTTCTGCCCTTTAATAAAGTTCCACAGGTTTCTTCAGGTTTGGTTGCTGGTATGAATGGGATTTTTTTTCTATTCTTCAAAGCTACTGATTTATTTCATGTTAATCTTTAATCCAGACATTGCAGTGATCTCTCTTATTAGTTCTCATGGTTTTTGAGGTAAAAATCTACATACAGTTAAATGCACATATATTAAATACACAATTTAATGAGTTTTGCTAAACGTATACAATTGTAAAGCATCATCTCACTCAAGATAGTTCTAATCATTATTTTCAAAAGATGATTTTGTAGGATTTTAACTATAATCATATTGTCTACTAGTAATCATAGTTTTGTTTCTTCCTTACTATAACTCATTTATTTTTCTTATTGAATTTCACTGCCCAAGATCTTCAATCCAATGCTAATTGTAGTAGGAATAGTTAGCTAGCATCCTTGTATTTTTTACAGGAAAGCTTCTAATGTTCCACCATGTAGAAGATA